CGTTCTTGTGCGACTCACAACGGGGGCCACCTGACTAAAGTGGTGCTGTACGCATGAAAATATAAAATTTCAGTTCATTCTCTTTCGTTTGAGGCATGATTCGCCTTAATCGGTGGCATAGCAAGGTCACACGACAAAAATAAAAAAGCTTTAAGACTTCTGGGACACCCTGTATTATAACCGCCTATCATGAATGTTGCACCGGTCTTCTGTTCCCTTGTCAATATCAGCCAAATTTTGTGGGGGCAAAAACATAGTCTTGCCCCCACGGCCTCCTGCCAGTGGGGGCAGCCTGCCCCCACTGCCCCCACGGTGGCGCCGCCCTTGCTTAAAGCCTCTTATTAATCGGTCGGTTGAATGACAGAAGTTGCTGGGGTCACCATCCCACCGGTGCATCAATCAATGTGCCGCGCGCTAATCCCTGGGTCGGACGCGACTCCGGCTCCGGCTCCGGCTCCGGCTCCGACGGCCCGAACCCCGCCGAACATGTGTACAGTGCAAACATCAGCCGTCCTATCTGTCGCCAGCGCGGCTGACGGGACGATCGCGGGCGTGACTGCGAACGTGCGAGTTCCGCGGACTGAGCTGCGAGCTCCGCGGACTGAGCTGTTAGCTCCGCGGACTGAGCTGTGAGCTCCGCGGGCTGAGCTGTGAGCTCCGCGGAATGACCTGTGAGCTACGCGGGCTGAGCTGTGAGCTCCGCGGACTGAGCTGTGAGCTCCGCGGGCTGAGCTGTGAGCTCCACGGACTGAGCTGTGAGCTCCGCGGACTGAGCTGTGAGCTCCGCGGGCTGAGCTGTGAGCTCCGCGGACTGAGCTGTGAGCTCCGCGGACTGAGCTGTGAGCTCAGAGAACTGAGGACGGATGAGGCTCCTCATATATTGGGAGAGATTCCAGCTGATTATGTAAAACCTTTGTTCTAAATTAAATCATGAATAAACCAGGACATGAATAAACCCGCGCCCCGTTGGGGTCTGCCGAGCAACGCGCCCTGTTGGGGGAGACATTTTGCCCCCCCCCCCCAAGATTTCGAGAGCCACGCAACATAGCGACAAGCAGCAAACGGTGTTGGATAGCCCCGACGGGGAACTACCTTGTGACCCAATTTCATTGACCTAGGTCAAACCGATGACGTCACAGGTAGCTCAGGTCAAATGTCGAATTTTCACCGTTTACAGGCATTTCAAGAAATGTGTTGTAAAATCGAGTAAAATGCATGTCATTGAAAATCATCGATGGATAATTGTTCGTAAAACACATATTTTGCTATTTGAGGTCACTGATACCAGGTCAGGTCACAGAGGTCAGGTCACTGAGGGTCACAAAATGAAAATATCATGTGATTCATGTTTATGGTCCATTTTACATGACAAATGCGATTGTGTGGGTCAGGCAGCCTTTGGGACCAGTTTAGGTTATGTTCTGGTTAAGGTCAGGTCAAGGTCAGGTCAAATTAGGTCAAATTTCAAGCTTGATATTTTTGCATAAAATGGGTATCGATTCGATGCAGTCACGGGGAGTCTAACGGTGGTCTTTGTTTTGCGCTACGTGGTCTAGAATTGCTAAAAATTCAGTTAAAAAAAATTGACGTCCCAGTAAACATGCCGACGTCGGCCCGACGTCGGTCGACGTCGGGGTGACGTCGGCAACTCGGTATCGGCATGCCAACGTCGGCCCGACGTCGGTCCAACCTCGGCACGACGTCGGCTGGATGTCGGATATGCCCGCATGTACCGACGTCTAGTCGAGTTCCAGCCGACGTCGGGCCGACGTCGGACCGAGATCAATTGCTGAGGTCCAGCCGACGTCGGGCCGACGTCGGGGCGACGTCGGACCGACATCGGCCGCTGTTCTGACCGTTAAAATAATATAAAATACATATTTCATGTTTCATAAAGAGCTTCTGTATTCAAAATATCCTCAGGAAACTCAAATCTTCCTCCACGCCGCAACCCCCTGATCCGGACTGGACGGGAAACTTTATCCCATTTGGGATTGCCCGTAAGCCGAGCTCGCCCGTAGCCGGGTGCGGTGAGTGCTTGGGGGCTGCTCGGCCTATCCTTTGGTCAGGCTCAGCCCCGGCAACTCACCAGGGCCGGGCCCAGTTCATATAGAAAGGCCAGTCGGCAAGTGTCACTTTGCCAAAGTGCCACTTATCCAAGGGACACTTTGGGAAACGTTGGTGCAGGTGTGTAAGAGTGGCTATATGAATCCATTGTGGGGTCGCCCTTTCCAATAAGTGTCACGTAACAGCAATGGGACCAGGGACTCTATATGAACTGGACCCAGGATGCTCACCAAGAAGACCAATGTCTCCATCCTATCATCCTTCCGGCTCTGAAATGGTCTTGTCAGACCGAAAGGGCATAACCCAACAAAACAAACAAAGTTCGCTATCTGGCTGCGTGGTGTAGTGGTTAGCGCCCTAACCTCGCGTTCAAATGACACGGTGTTCGAATCCCATCGCCGGCTGATGCTTTTGGCGTGTTGTCTCAGTAAACATGCCGACGTCGGCGACTGGGGGCTCGAATCCCGCCGCCGGTTGATATTTTTGGCGCGTTGTCCCAATAAACATGCCGACGTCGGCCCCGTCGGTCCAACGACAAACGATCTCGTCAACCTCGGCAAACGACCTCGGCCCGACGTCGGCTCGACGTCGGCTGGACTTCGGCTGGACGTCGGAACATGCGGGCATATCCGACGTCCAGCCGATGTCGGGCCGAGGTTGAACCGACGTTGGGCCGACGTCGGGCCGAGCCTCGGCCCGACGTCGGGCCGACGTCGGCATGTTTACTGGGGTTATCAATTTTGAACAGTTTTTTCGCTATAACTTGGCCAAAAAGGAGGCATCGATCTAAAATTTGGTATGAATATAGAAGACCGCAGGAACTATAATTAATATTCCGGTTTTTCGAAATTCGAAAAACTTTGGGATTTTTTTTTGCGTTTTTCTAAAAAATCATTTATTTTTGTTTTTGGGGTCAAAACCCAAAAATTTCGAAAATCCGAGATAGCAGTTTTGTAGCGCCGTCTTTTCTCTTTAACCCGCGCCCCACTGGGGGGGGGGGGCTATTTATAGCCCCCCCTCCCGTTTTTCTGCAATAACTTCCAAACCGCTTGACGGATCGACGCCAAACTTACAGTACCTTTGGCTGCATCAATTTGACACCTTTTGTCAAAATTTGAACTTCGTAGCTACCATAGGTCGGCCGGAAATGACGTCAGAGTGACGTCATGTTCGGCCGATTTCGACGCAAAACATTGAACCACAGCAATCGCTCCCAAGAGCTCAGTTTTTAAGCTAGATCCAATTTCTTTGCATGAAAGGATTTAGAATTGACCTCGCTATCAAACTGCTATCTCAAATTTTCAAAATTTTAAAAATTTCGAAAATTTGATATCATAATATTCAAAATATGTATTTTTATATTTTTTTCAAAAAGTTTTTGACTTTTCGATAAAACCGGAGTATATGTGACAGAACGCTTGATTATGACTAACTCTAGCAAGTTTTAGCTAAATATCTTCAAACATGGCCAAGTTATACGCATTATTGCAAAAAATTCACAATTATTAATTTTTCAAATCAATTTTTCAGTACGTATTTGACATCGTACACCAATATAAATGGCACCATCGTGTTCCTGAGCTCAAACTGCATCCAATAGACACCTTTTTTGTTTAAAAATTTTAACTTCAAAATTTGACCTTTTTTGACCTGAAAGTGACCTGACCTAAGCTAAATTCGACTCAAAATGACCTCGAATGACACAGACGACATCAAATTCGAAATCTATGGCCTAAATGGACCATAAAACATGTGTCACGTGACCGACGCATGATAAAATATTTTCGTGACCTGTGATGACCTGACCTTGACCTGAAAATCAAAGTAAAAGCTTGGTACCCTCAGGGTATCTAGAGCATCTGTTTAAGAGTGTGTGTACCAAAAATGAGCCTGATCTGACTTGTAAGACGGCGGCCAGAGCCCAAAATGTGAACAAGCCAAAATGCTAATAATTTTTACTTTGACCTGACCTGTGACGTCATCGGTGACCTCGAGGTCAATGAAATTAGGTTTCGCTCGACAGTTTTTCCGGGGCTATCAGACGCCGTTTGAATTTTGACGATCGGCCCAGTAGTTTCGGAGTTAGGAGGGGGGGCTATGAATAGCCCCCCCCCAGTAGGGCGTGTTATACACAGACCCCAGTGGGGCGCGGGTTAAGACCACGGACCACGTCATAAAGAACGTTGAAATTGCTTGTTAATTGTAGCTTTTGTGAGCGTTTCAAGATTTCATGTTTTATGCTCATTTTTGCTCGAACATGACCTCAGTTTGACCTCAATAACTCCTGACCTAAGGTGACCTAAGGCTTGAAATTTTGTGTGAAGGTATCAAATTGATGCCCGGGAAGGTACTGAAAATTTGGAGGCGCTGCGCGCCGCCGTTTTCTTGCTATTCAGGAAAAACCATAGCCCCCCCCCCCCAACGGGGCGAGGGTTACATCTCCTTAACTGAACTTACCAAAGCTCCGACATGGCAGCGACGTTCTGTTAATGAGCTATCGGCCCTTATTTTTGTGCATTCTGCGCTCTTCCAACTTGGTGTGCTTCGTAACGAGCTGCACGTCCATACATACTCTCCCAGGGCCTGAATAACTCGGGCCGAATTGCCCAGGAGATCCCGCTCGTAAATAAAATGCTGCCAGAGTTCGGCGCGATGAAAAGAAAGGACTTGACTGGAAATATTAGAACTCGTCTTTAAAAACACTGCGTGATGTTTTCTACAAGCATGCTGTGTTCAGAGCAGACGACAATGGTGGCTTGCCATTCATCGCTTCAAGTACGGGCTATTCTGGCTAGTCGTAGGATACGGAAATCATTCTTAAGCTCATGCAACATATTCCTAGGGTCTGAGAGATAATGTTAAAATGCCAGTATTATTTATAGGAAATGGGCCGCACCACACGCATAGGGCGACTCCCCATCAGCTGGCCGTACCGGTACTGTCTGGAGAACAGGACGTAGATGGCCGGGTTGTACCAGCCCGAGTTTTTGGTGAGCACGGTGACGACCGCCACGGCGCCGGGCCCGGTCAGCCGCTCGCCGGCGAAGGTGCCCAGCAGCGAGACGGCCGCGTATGGCACCCAGGCCAGCAGGAAGCCCAGCACCAGCACCGCAGACACCTGCAGACAGACGCAGAGTGAGGCCCAGCACCGCAGACACCTGCAGACAGACGCAGACGGACCGAGTGAGGCCCAGCACCGCAGACACCTGCAGACAGACGCAGACGGACCGAGTGAGGCCCAGCACCGCAGACACCTGCAGACAGACGCAGACGGACCGAGTGAGGCCCAGCACCGCAGACACCTGCAGACAGACGCAGACGGACCGCGTGAGGCTCAGCACCGCCGACACCTGGCACAGACGGACCGAACTGCGTGAGACCCAGCCGACACCCCGGGCACAGGGCAGTGATCAACATGGACAGATTGCTACCAGTCAGTGATCAGCCACTACCCGAGCCGGATGGGCTCACATTTCACTTCCAAAGTGTAGTTCCAGCCGCAAATGAAGGGGTACCCCGACCTCCTCTCCTGTAAAACACCGCGGGTGCACCGTGCACCCCGACCGTCCCTCGGCGGGTGCGGGTGCCCCCCCCCCCCTTCCCCCGCTGCCGGCCGTCTGGGCGGCCGCTCTCACCAGGTGCAGCTGAGTCTCGGCGGCGGCCTTCCGCGCGCCGCCGCGGCCGGCGTGCCGCTGCGTGCGCCGCACCACCACCACGATCCGCCAGTAGAAGAACACCAGCGCGCCAGCCGGCAGGAAGAGCGCCGCCAGCGCCGCCAGCGCGATGTAGCAGCGCTCCCCTGCAGCGGCAGCGGCGGCGACAGCGGCGCCCGTCAGCCCACGCGCACCATCCGTCTGACTTAGAACCGGGGCATATTTCCATTGAGGATTGGATAATATTTACGGCCGAAAATTCCACACTAGGCCAACGCTGCCTCGGACGTTTATTCCAGTTTATGGATACAGATGGACTCATTGTACGTGGTTGCAATTTACGGCGAGATCTATTTCCCCGTTGCGGAGCAGGGAATACATACCTATACTTACCCGTATGAGCCATGCGAACGGTAGGTAGATACTGAATCACTCATTCACTCGCACCTGCACTCACACACACACACACACACTCACAGCGCCACAGCCGCCTCTTTGAGCCACCGGTGCACCAATGATTACATACGAACGCATACACGCACGTACACGTACACCGTACATTATAAGCGGATATGCTTCGTGGTAACATACAGGCACGTTTAATATACAGATGCACACACACACACAGACGAACGTTTTCAGCGGTCGGCCCTTTGATCCCCGCCATGGCACACGGCCTCGGAGGCGGGTCGTCCGTCGTCCGTCCGTCCGTCCGTGAGTAGGAGTACATACCTGCGGTGCGCGGCAGCCAGTCTAGGCTGCAGCAGAGGCCGTGCTGCTCCACGCCGTAGCGGCCCCAGCCCAGCAGCGGACAGCTCGACCAGAACGCCGCCCACACGTAGACGGCCGCCAGCAGCCGGACCGGGGTGCGCGCGTTATTCACAGAGTCTGCCGGCCACGGCACTCGGTCAACGGCAGGCAGCTAGCTGAGGCCGCCAGTCCGATCTGCAGCAGCTTCACAATAGCGGAACAGGAATTACGTCACCGCAAACGTCTTCCACATAAACAAATTAACTCGACTGACATGAACAATGCTACATTTTGGTGGCTTGAAAGATTCTTATATCGAGCCACAACAATACCTATACGGCTATACGTAGGACAACTATCGATGATCGGCACGTCCCTATACGCGCAGCGTTATTGGCAACTGACAGACGTCAGCCCATGAATCGCTGTGTAGCTGTAGGCGTCATCACCACTCAGTCGGTATGTCCGCCCATTTACTGCTGTTCGGTGTGTACCTACAGAGGACACGCTGCCCGGTACAGAGGTATGGCAGAGACTCGGCCGGCTCACCGGTAAAAGCCCAGCAGGTCTTGATGTAGCGAATGGCGCCGATAGAGACCAGGGCCGATATGTTGACCAGACCGCAGAAAAACGACAGGGCGCCGTGCAGAACACACCCTGACGGCGGAAACGCCACAAAACACGTGAAAAAAAGACTGGAATGGTGCCGAGGACAATGGCACCGTTCAATAAAAAAAGGGTTTATAAAACGAAATCATTGGTGAACAATGTCAATTAGTCATCGTGACGACAAAGTCTGTAAAGGGAGACAAAAGAGTCAGAGAAAACGATATACCTACATTAAATATATGTGGTTAGTTACAATGTGGAAAAGTCGGTATAATCAAAAACAAAGTTAAGTACACGAGTGGCACGTCCCCAGTGTCCGTCGCCCGGGGCCCGGCGGGGATCCGCCGTGTAAGACGTGTAAGACCACCATCGGCCCTGGATCGTCCGAGCGACCAACAGCAACCCCTCCCCGAGAGCCGCCCTTACGTGAACCTTTAATTAGCCAGCAGTGGTAGTACATACATACGTGAGCTGACAGCGCACTTAGTCACAGTGTCGCCCTATCCATCCACTTGTTGCCACTCAATGAACCCTTTCAATAGTAGGTTTGAACTTCAGACAAAACTTGACTTAACCCGCGCCCCGTAGGACTATCGGCGGACCCTACCACCCGTAGGGGGGGGGGGGCGTTTCGGCCCCCCCCCCCACCCGCCTAAGCTCTCGGAAATTTACCGGCCGATTTTCAAAATTCAAACGGCGTTCGATAGCCCCATCGGGGAACTACCTTGTGACCAAATTTCATTGACCTAGGTCAAACCGATGACGTCACAGGTCAGGTCAAATGTCGGATTTTCACCGTTCACAGGCATTTCAAGAAATGTGTTGTGAAATCGAGTAAATTGGTAATTTATTGAAAACCATCGATGAAACATTGTTCGTCAAACACATACTTTGCTATCTGAGGTCACTGATACCAGGTCAGGTCACAGCGAGGTCAGGTCACCGGGGTCACAATATGAAAGTGTCGTGTGATACATGTTTTATGGTCCATTTTACATGACAAATGCGATTATGTGGGTTAGGCAGCCTTTGGGGCCAGCCTAGGTCACGTTTTGGTGAAGGTCAGGTCAAGGTCAGGTCAAATTAGGTCAAATTTCAAAGTTGATACCTATTTTTGCATAAAATGGGTATCGATTCGATGCAGCTCGTCACGGGGAGTCTAATGGTGGTCTTTGTTTTGCTCTACGAGATCTAGAACTGCCAAAAATTGAGCTTGAAAATTTGACGTCATCATTTTTGAACAGTTTTTTTTTCGCTATAACTTGGCCAAAAAAAACGAGGTATCTATCTGAAATTTGGTATGTAGATAGAAGACGGTAGGTACTATGACATATATTTTTTTTCGAAATTCAAAAAACTTTTTGGATTTTTTGGCTAATATATCAAAAAAATGCTTTTTTGAATTTTGGGGGTCAAAAATCAAAAATTTCAAAAATCCGAGATTGCAGTTTTGTAGCCCTGTCAATTCTACAACTTTTATGTTTCGATCATTTTTCTGTATCCTCAAAGTTGTAGGCCTGACAGGTCTTCTCGCAAAGGTCTTTTTTCGGTCGAAAATGACAGAACATGACGTCATTCTGACGTCATTCGTTGCCAGCCTATTATAGCCTCAGGAAAAATGTTTGGTCACAATGTGTAAAATTGATGCCCGGAGGGGCCCTGCAAGTTTGGTGGCGATATATCCAGCCGTTTAGGAGATATCGACGGAAAAGGACAGGGGGGCCGTTTCCCCCCCCCCCCCCCTACGGGTCGCGGGTTAACAAGTAGTGACGAGAGATGCCGTCACAGCGCACCTCTCGGCTGCCGGTCACCGGCGCTGCGGCGGACTGTCCCGCGGCCGGACATCGCTGCCTCACCGAGCTCGTCGAAGATCCAGCGGTGGCTGAAGGCGCTGGCGGCGTTCAGCGGACAGGTGACGGCCATCATCAGCAGCGTGGAGACTGTGAGGTTGTAGAGCAGGTACTCGACCGTCTCCAGGCGCGCCCGGCGCCGGTGGAACATGAGCAGCACGGCGGCATTACCGAGCACCGACACCGTGCCTGCCGCCGTGGAACGCCAGTTACAGCGACACCGTGCACATACACAAACACCAGTTACAGCCAGACTTACAGCAACACAGTGCAATACAAACAACAGTTACAGCATCACCGTGCACATACAAACACCAGTTACAGCGACACCAGGCACACATCAACAGTCAACACTGCAGTTACAGCGACACCAGGCACAGTCATAAACACCAGTTACAGCGATACCGGGCACAGTCATAAACACCAACACCGACACCGTGCCGCAAAATAAATTATCCACCACGAGTTACACCGACACCGGACCCCACACAGATAACACGGCACGAGTCTCAAGGTTTTACTGCACAGTGCACAGTCCGGACTCCGAAAACAAAATATCGTGTGTACCGGCTCTTAACCCGCGCCGTGCTGGTGGCCTGAACTTTCCGCCGAGTGCTGGGGGGCGTTTTCACGCCCCCCCGTCTAACTCGGCTCCTGGGCCACGTAGCGACACGCGGTAAGCGGCAATCGAAAGAGTGTCAAAAATAAGGACGAAAACACTTCGGTCATTTTTTGGGTCAGGTCAAAGGTCAGGTCACCAGAGGTCACCAAAGGTAAAATGTTGACTATTTCAACATTTTGGAAACTGCCAACGGCTATCTCGGGAACCAATAGAGCTACAGCGCCGCGGAAAAGCGCATTCGATAGCCCTTTTACAGACCTTTCTGAGTAATGTTCTCAGATTTGACCTCAGGTCAACGGTTTAGCCTCCAGAGGGCAAAAACTCCAAAAATAGCCGTTTTTACGAAAAACGTTTTTTCGTCAATAACTTTTGACTCATAAGCGCCATGACATTACTTTTGCCAGCATCGTGTTCCTCTCGTCGAGACGCGTCGAATGAACTATTTGTTGACCTTGAAAGGTCATTTTGAAAATTTGACCTCAGGTCAAGGTCATGACCTGACCGAAAAGGGTCATGTTGCATATCAGTCGATCCGTATCGTCGAGCTGAACACATCTGACGTGTTTTCACCGCTCTAGCACGTCTCTATCAAAAGTTATAGCCAAAAAACTGCTGGCGACCGTTCATGACCTGAGATGACCTCAGGGGCACACAGAGGGGTCACAGGTGCATTTTTCCTATTCAGTGTGTCATGTTTACCTATGAACCGATGTTTGAGAGCGTTTTGAACGATATTCGTCCAAAAGAGGCGCATTTCAATTTTCTCCCATTGACTTATAATGGAGAGGTCGCAAAATTGACCTGACCTTAGGTCACAGATATCAAAAATCCGAGATATACATTTTATACATACTGTTACTCATATCAATCGCTGAAAGTTTCAAAGTGATCGTTCAGTCGGTGTAGCTATAGCGAGCCTTTGAACTTTTTCTGAGGTAAGGTCACTTGACGTGACCTGGTGACCTGACCTTGAACGGCCTAGGTCTGAAATTTTCACAACATGTGCGGAAATGATGTAGGAACACGTGTACCAAAAACGGCGGCGCTGCGCGCCGCCGTTTTTGAGATATTCGCGAAAAACCTGAGGGGGGGGGCGTAAAAAGGCCCCCCCCCCCCCAGCACGGCGCGGGTTAAGTCGTACAATCAGCAGCCTTTGAAACTGCTCTTTCGTTATGTAAATCTTTACCAGCGCATTTTTTTAACCGTATCATGTTATGTTTTTTAGGTTCATTTCCATGCTGTAAATACCTATGCTCATATTCTAGACCAGTTATGTGATGCCAAATTGCCAATAACGCTGAGAATGGCAATAGCCGTTTTCGCGACGGGCTCAGGGACAGGCTTGAGGCTATATGGCGAATGCACCTAATTCTCACCAAATTTGCAACTTATCTTTTTGATAACAAATATCTTCACATAATGAATTTATCTAAGTGTTTTAATCGATGATGTTTGATGATAAGACAAGGCAGATACCTACCTATATAAGTAATAAGTGCAACCCTAGCTGATAGCTACTAAGAAATACACTGAACCTAATTTGACCAAATCCTCACCAAATTTGCACCGAATTTACACCAATGTGTACCAGATGGCCGTCGTGAAAACGGCTAATGTCAATCACTTACACGCACAACCCCTACACGGAAACGAGTGTTCGAGACCACGCGTCTCCGCTGTGACTGTCTGCAGTTTGAATATCTTCAGGAACGCAAAACCCAATCGGTTTAGGATGAAAAATAAATGCCTGAATAATACCTTGGCAGTCAACAAAATTGCCTCAATCTAAATTCAAAGGATCGTCGGTCTCGTGGTTCTGCTGCAGGATATTTGAGGAAAGAGAAAACACGTAGCGAGAGACGTTTGGTGCGGTGTCAAAACCTATCCGAGGAGCTGGACATGGCCGCCGGACTCCACGGTGTTAGCCCGTGTGCAGGGGCGTCGCCGACGGGGGGGTCGGGGGGGTCGTGACCCCCCACTCTTGAAAACTGGGGGTGTCGACCCCCCCACTTTTTGCGATGCTGAGTATGCTTTTTTAGCTTTTATGTCAGTGAAGCAGGCGTCAGCAACACCACCAAGTACATCAGATTCAGAATCGCTTCAAGAGCTCCCTAAAGCCAATTAGCCAATTACCTAAAGTTCAATTAGCTGTGGGCGGGGAACACCAGCACAACAATATTTTTAAGTGGCCAGTGGCCACCATTCTAGTACCTTTTTATCCCTCAAAGGATTGGACGCGCCAAAACTGCCCCGAGCGTTCGTCTGATCGTTTAAAAAAATGGTCGCAGTCGATTCGTCGGATCAGTACCTAACTACAAAACTACAAACTAGCCTCAGCCCCATGGCTATCGGCACAACTAGCTGTACAGTGCACATGTAGGGGAAAGGGAGTCAGATGAAACCGTCTCGGGCTTTCGCAAAAAAGTCGCGCAAAAGGAGCCGATTGCAACGAAACTTCCGGTGCGCTCGTGTTAATCACCTACTTAAAAATAAATCGATATCCCTGATTCGAATAAAGATGACCTTGGTTCACTTTTTCATAACATGCTTTTAATTTAGGTAAAGGATAGTTTTTGGAGCTGATTTTGAACTTAGCGCCCATCTGAACATTTAAGAAGTAGTTGTGTTGCTTATACATATGTATAACATGTTAGGAAGCAATGGGTGGTGGTCATCCACTATTAGGTACTGGTCGATCTGACCTGACCTGACCTGATCTACCCCAAATGCATGGAGTCATCATCTTCGTTCAAAACTAAGATAACATTCGTAACAGGGCCTATTTTAAGACAATTGGACTGGGGTGGCCAGGCAGTGGTGGCGCCCCTGTCTCTTGTGTGGGCGCCTCCCCCCCCCCCCCACCGAAATACTGCTGTGCGCAGCATTTCGATGGGGGGGGGGCGTCGCAATCGAGTCTCAGAATCTTTTTTTTTGTGACGGTAGTACGTAAGGGCTAACGTTTCGGGAAAGTGTCTAGAGGCCTTTGTTGGCATAGTTTTTTTCTAACATAGCCCTTTCGGGCGATGCATGGAAAGAATTAAGCCAAAAGTCGGCTGTGCATGGTGCAACCCCCTTTCGTCAGAGAACTTTTACTGCTTATGCCGATGGCCCTCAAATCCCCCCCCCCGATCCGTCCATGATAAACACCTTCCCATACCAAGAAGCCGGCGTCACTCGAGGTCACTTTATCTTGAAATTTCGATATCGATGACCTAAGGTCAGGTCAATTTTTCGACCTCTCCATTAGGTATAAGTCAATGGGAGAAAATTGAAAAGCGCCTCTTTTAGACGAACGCCATTCTAAACATTTTCAAACACTAAATTACGAGTTAACATGACACGCTGAACCAGAAAATGGCACCCGTGACCCCTCGTTATGCCCCCGAGGTCATATCAGGTCACGAATGGTATCTAACAGTTTTTCGCTAATAACTTCTGATAGAGGCAAGCTAGAGCGATGAAAACGCATTAGATGTGTTTGGCTCGACGATACGGATCGACTGATATGCAGCACGACCTTTTCCGGTCAGGTCATTACCTTGACCTGTAGTCAAATTTTCAAGTTGACCTTTCAAGGTCAAATTATAGTTCATTCGACGCGTCTAGACGAGAGGAACACCATGCTGGCAAAAATACTGTCGTGTCTCTCTTGAGTCAAAAGTTATTGAAGAAAACGAAGTTTTTGCACTCTGGAGGCTAAACCGTTGACCTGAGGTCAAACCTGAGAACATTATTCAGAAAGCCCTGTAAAAGAGCTATCGATTGCGCTTTTCCGCGGCGCTGTAGCTCTATTGGTTCCCGAGTTGTCCGTCGGCAGTTTCGAAAAATGTTGAAATAACAAAATTTGACCTTTGATGACCTTTGGTGACCTGACCTTTGACCTGACCTAAAAAAATAACAAGTGGGTATTTTCGTCATGGTTTTTGACGTTCTTTCGGATGCCGCTTACCGCGTGTCGCTACTTGGCCCAGGAGCCGACTTAGAAGGGGGGTGTTCAAATCCCCGCCCCCCCAGCAGGGCGTGGAAATCCAGGACCCCCAGCGGGGCGCGGGTTAAACCGCCGCTCGCCAGATTTTTCTCTTGGAAATACCCTCGTCAGAAGCAATGCGTGCACGTGCGTTTGAAAATCCATTGTTGATCACACGGCCTGTCTCAAAGCCACATGACAAATTTAATTTTGCGGCCGATACTGATAGGGCTCCCAAAGGTGCAGTTGGCGCCCCAGTAGTGGTGTGGCGCCCCAATCGTGTCTGGGCGCCCGAATGTTGATAGGGCTCTTCAGTCGTGGTAGGCGCCCAAGTGCTGGTAGGGCGCCCCATTGCCGGTAGTGTGTCCCAATCGAATCAGAGAGTCCCATAGCTCAGTTGGTAGAGCACCGGACTCCCGGTAGCGAGAGCCCGGGTTCGAGTCGCTCCGGTGCTCGATATTTGAGACTCCTGACGGGGATGGTCTGCGGTTGGTGGGAGCAGCCGCAGCCAGTTGAAGTCAGTTGAGTGGGACAGGTTGTGTCCGGCTTTGAAGGGCACGTTAAACTTAGGCATCTAAATTATTCCGTTACCCGGAATTG